TGACTCCCATCTGCAGTGCTTTCCTGGTCCTGTCTCTCTCGCTCCCATGGGGCGTCCCGTATAGGTGCGAGAGAGACGGAGCGAGGAAGCACTGATCGGCATCAGCCTGGCGGTTAGGCAGCGCCGTGGACAGCCGTGTCTGACGGGACGGCCTGCCTGCCGGGCGCTCGCCTCGCCCCCCCCCCCCTCCCCCGACGCGGAGACAGTCTGGATGGATGTTTCCTGCGGTATACGTCGTGCCACTTGCACTTTTCTGCGGTATATTTTGTTTCCTTCCCCCTTTCGAAAACAGTGCCGGCGAGTCGCTGACCGCGCGGGCATGTCCAAGTGGCCCGCTTATCAGTACACGACGTGTCTCATTGTCGGCCACGAGTACCTGGCGGCTGTGCACACGCACGCTCACACACAGGCACACACACACACACACACACACACACAGAGGCCAGTATCGGGCATCTCGGCCGGTCGCGAGCTCCGCCGTCCCCCCGTGTCGCACGGCACACTCACTCAGTGTCGCGGCTCGGCCCGCCCCGCCGCTGCTCGAGTGAGACTGCAGCAGACTGCAGCGGGAGGTGTTTGAAGAGGTCAAGGAGGACACGCGCGAGTCCGAAAGGTCAACGGGCTCGTCCCGGCGCGGCGCTGCGCTGCGGACCGATTCCGAGAGTCGTTTTCGTCGCTCTGTCTCTCTCGCACCCATACGGGACGCCCCGTGAGTGCGAGAGAGACGGAGCGACGAAAACGACTCTCGGAATCGGTGTGCTGCGCTGTCTCATGCACATGTCGCCGCGATAGGGAGGCGCGTGTTTTGCACGGGGATAAAATAACTACGCGTCTGGACCACCACTTCCATACTTCCCCCTTTCCCCTGTCCCCTCCTCCCCCCTCCCCATCTCTCTCCGCTCGATGGTGCGTACACGCCCATGGCCACACGGTGTGCACACGGTCACGGTGTCGCGGTCCATTTATGCAGTAATTTTCATATTTTTTTTTGTCTTTTTCGTCCCCGCCTCGGGGTGTAACACGGTGATAAACGTGCGTGCGTGCGTGTGTCAACGGACGGACGCCTCGCCGCGGCACTCGGCAGCGATTTGTGTGTCGTTGTTGTTGTTTTTCCGGTGGAACGAAACCGCAACCTGATTCCGGAGTCGTTCTGCTGGGAGCGGCTGCGGTGATGCTCCGGCGAAAAGCGCTCATAATGCCCTCGAGAGCTGTGCGCTTCGCTCTGCACTGCACTTGCGACGACGGCGGCGGCGGTGGCGGGCTCGTTTGTTTGCGCGATGATGCAGAGTGTGTTCGCCTCTCTCTCTCTCTCTCTCTCTCTCTCTCCTCTCTCTCTCTCTCTCTCTCTCGCACACCCATACGGGACGCCTCATGAGTGCGAGAGAGACAGAGAGAGACGTTCCCGGAATGATCGCGCCGTGCAGTTGCATCGCGGTGGATGCAAAGCGAAGCAACGCGAAGCAAAGCGAAGCGGAATGACAGTTCGTCCCACTTTGACGGCGTCGCGTCGGTGTCGCTCCAGACGCCGGCCCGGCACGGCCTCGCGGTGCATTCACGCCCTGTCTCTCCCCCCCCCTTCCTCTCCCCTCCCCCCAACCTCCCGCCCCTGCAAGGCACCGCCCTCATCATCCCGCAGACACACAATCTGCGCAGCAATTAGACGAGACGCACCGAGGAGGCCCGCCCCGCGTCGAGGCCCCGGCAGACTCATTCCGAGAGTCGTTTTCGTCGCTCTGTCTCTCTCGCACTCGAGGGGCGTCCCGTGTAGGTGCGAGAGAGACAGAGCGACGACGACCACCCTCGGAGTCGGTCTGCCGGGCTGCTGTCGCCGCGCCGTGCTGTACCGCGTGCGTGCGTGTTTGCGTGTTGACACTGCGTTGCGTGCCTTTGGCCGCACGCGCCTCTACGCGAAACGAGTCGCGGCAAATGGAGCGCACGCCAGAATCGGTGCACGCAAACTGAACGTGAGCAAAAAATGTTGAGACTCAAGAGATTCAAGAAGTTTGGAGGCGCGTTGGCACACTGATAATTCGCGTTCGTTGTGTTTCGATGTGGCGCGGTCGCACGGTGACTTGAACGCACGCGGCGCAGTGCGAGTCTTCTCTTCGGCGGCGCGTGCGCGCTTGCTCACAGTGTATTAGTCAGAAGACCGGTGGAGGCGGCCAAAGTCCCGGACGCGTTTCGAGCTGCAGAGTCGCTGAATAGGACTCGAACCGATCGTGTGACCCCATCATTGGATTGCTCTCCGAACGAGGAATCCATTGGTGGGGTCACACGCTCGATTCGAGTCCTGTTTAGCGACTCAAAAGCTCAAAACGCGTCGAGAGTTTTGGCCGCCAGCGCCGGCCCTCTGGCCCACCGTGGGTGCGTGCGTGCGTTAGCAGAATGCGACCCATTAGTGCAGGCCATTACGCCTATCCTTGGCCCATCTGAGGCGCTGCCGCGGGCTGCCGCTGGCGGTGCGGTGCGTGGCGTTTCAAGTGCTCTGGAACGCCCCGACCGCCACGCCGACGCGGTGCCAAACGCGCCCCGGGCGTGCGCGCGAGCTACAGTATCGAGTGCAAAGCCGCCGTGCGACGTTTAGCAGTGTCGTAGTTGTGAGGTTCCTCTCAGGCGCGGATCCAGAGGGGGTGACCGGAAGCCGCCTGAAAGGGAGGCAAGAAGACACACTTTGCCCCTGGTAGTTGGCGAAAAGTGCTACTTGGCCCATCCCTCGGTTCGGCTCTGGATCCACCACCGGCTCTGCCGACACAGTGTAGTACACTCACAGTGTACTGCGGTCCGTTTTGGCGCGGCGTGGCGGCCTGTGGCGGCCTGTGGGCAGACGAGACGGACCCGTCGTCGAGTGCCACACTTTACTGGCAGGCAGATTCTGTGCTGCGTGTCGCTCCGTCTCTCTCGCACTCATGGAGCGTTGCGGAGGGGTGCGAGAGAGACGGAGCGGCTGGGACTCTGAGGCCGACGTGATGCGGCTAGATGAGATGCGTCCCGGACAGGCCGTCGCCCGTCGCGCCTACACTACACGGCCCGGCGAGGCCCCTGGCCTGCCCCTGGCCTGCCCCTGGCCTGCCCCTGGCCGCGGCACTGTAAAGTGTGCGCGCTGCCCGGCCCTGCCCACATGCTCGTCGCGGTCCTGGCCGGCACTGGCCGGGGCCTGGGGGCCGGCAGCAGGCCGACATGGTGGTCTCTCTCTCGCTCTCTTGGGGCGCCCCTAAAGGTGCGAGAGAGACGGAGACTGGCGGGCCGGAATGGAACAGCCTGCAGGCGAGCGATGATCGGGGACGGTGGATCAAGGATCAGCACGCGCGGGCCATTGCCAGCCATTGCCTGCGCCGCCGTGGACGCCGCCGTGGACGCCGCGCCCCGCACGACCGGGCCGATGGAATCACAAAATGATGGACGCGCTCGCCTGCAGACTCATTCCGAGAGTCGTTCTCGTCGCTCTGTCTCCCCGCACTCACGGGGCCTCCCGCATTGGTGCGAGAGAGACAGAGCGACGCAGGCGACTCTCGGATTGAGTCTGCTGTCCGGCCGGGCGGCACGACGGCCCGATCGCTTCATTGCGAGAGGCAATCGGAGGCAATCGCCTGCTTCGACCCGCGTCCCCGCCGCCTGCATGCTTGCCGCCTGCTTGACTGATACGACCACCGAAGCCGGATTGCACCGATTGCAACCAGAGGGTCGATTTGGATAAACGAATCGGCATCGGGCCGGCCGCCGCTGCCGTGCTGGACCGCGGGGTACTTGATGGCGGCGGGGTCACGAGGGTCTGCACTGTCTGTCTCCCTCACACCCACAAGGAAACTCCCATGAGTGTGAGAGAGAGACGGAGCGACGAACCCTCCTGCGTACGCTGCCCATGAAAAATGTCCCGGCCGTGTCTTGGCGACGACCACGACGTGGACTCGGGCAGGATGACGCGTATCCCGGAAACTGGAACCCCTGTGTGACTGGAGACAGTGTGCTCGCCGAAGTTGGCGGACTGTCGACCGATTCCTCGCTGTGCCTCTCTCGCACCGCTGCGGCACTCGCATGAGTGGGAGAGAGACGGCGCGAGAGGTGCGGGCGGCGGGACGGCCCGACTGGTGGGTGTTTGCGCGCGGCCCCCGCAGATAGGAAGGCCTCCCGCGGCCGGCCGCCGCTGTCCGGCGCCCCGCTGCACTGTGCACTCGTGTTGTATTGGAAAGTAATGCATTGTCCCGGCGCCAGGAACACGCCACTGCGGACTGATTCCGACAGTCGTTTTCGTCGCTCTGTCTCTCTCGCACCTACACGGGGTGCCCATGAGTGCGAGAGAGACAGAGCGACGAAAACGACTCTCGGCGCCACGGGTCGCGGCGCTGGAAGATGACGCGGGAAACTGGAACGTTGCGCGGTGCATGATGCTGCGGGTCGCGGTGGTGCTGCTGGTGGTGCTGCTGTTGGTGATGATGATGGCGATGAAGAAAGAAGACGGTGACTGCGCGACGTGCCGGGAGTGACGGAGATGGCGACGGCGGCTGGCGGGCCGGCGGGGCCTTTCACCTCGAGTTGGAAGGAAGCCCGCGCCGCGAGCCTCGCGCCCCGAGTCGGCGGGGCAGACGGCAGACGGGGCTGGCGGGCTGGCACGTGATTTCATGCTCCAGATGCAATCGGCGTGATGCAGTGACCGGGCGATGCACCGCGAGGCGAGGCGCCCCTCGTAACAAGGAACCGAGGCCGCCCCGCCCCGCCCCGGCCCGGCACTCGGGCGCCGTTTGGCAACGCTAATTTAGAGCCCTCGTTTGAACAGCGGCGGCGGCGCCTGCTTACGCCCTCAGTGGTTCTCTCTCGCACTCATGGGGTGTCCCGTGGGGGTGCGAGAATCGGCTCGCCGTGATTCGCTTTCAATCTCGATACGTGTTTTACTGCGAGTTTTCAGACGCGGGATGACGGACTTTTCGTTTTTTTGTGGTGCCTGGCAATGGAAGTGGTTCCGTTCTCTGTCTGCGTGGTTCTGACGACGTGCTTCCTTGTTGCAGGCCTCCATGGACCTCCCGCCGGACAAAGCCAAACTGCTCAAGCAATATGACGACGAGAAGAAGTGGGACATCATCTGTGATCAGGTACGTGGAGCCCGGAGCTCGCAGTGTGGCGGTCACTTCGTCCTCGACGGGTTGGGGACCTTACGGTGGCACACCGGATGGTTGCGGAGCGCGCCGCCGACTTGTAAATGTTGACGGAGCGTGCAGGCAGGCTGATTCCAAACGGTGCCATCGCCGCTCTGTCTCTCTCGCACCCTGACGGGACGGCCCGTGAGTGCGAGAGAGACAGCGACGAAAGCACTGCAGGTGCAGGGTTGTTGGTAAACAGAGTGAGTGTCCTTCGGCGTCGCGTGCGTCTGCGCCGCACATTCGGAATGACGGGACGGGGCCTACCCGTCTCTGTCTCGCCCAGGTACTTTGGCATGTTGCCGGCGACACGGGACCGTCCAGGCGGCGTCCTCCATCCCCGTCACGGCCTGCACGCCCTGCTGCAGGCTGGTTCCGTGTTCGTCGCTCTGTCTCTCTCGCACCCGTGGGGCGCCCCGTATCGGTGCGAGAGAGACGGAGCGACGACAGCGACTCCCAGTGTGCAGCTCGCGCTGCGGGACGAGGAGGACGAGGACAGGTGTGCCGCCATCTGTGCGACAGATATTCATCAGGACGGACGGCCCAAGTCCGAGTCCGGGCCGCGGGCTGGCGGGCAGGCCGCCGGGGGCAGCCCTTTTCACTTCCATTCGGAGGTCGAAAAGTGGAAATCATTTGACAGTGCACAAGCCGACGGCGGGCCGGCGGGCCGGTGGGGCAGTCCCCGAACCGAAATAGAGGGCCATTCAATTTGGTGAAATGAAAGGTGAGGGAGGTCCTTGGCGTGTATTCCCGTTGCGCCGGTGCGCTCGCGCTCGGCCGGGAGTCCCGTAGGACGGGACGCGGCAAGGCGCCCTCCGCGGAGTTCCCCCTGACGCCGTCGTCGTCGTCCTGGACCCGTGCCAGGGCCTCTGCCTCGGCCCTGCAGGCCCATTCCGAGAGTCCTCTCCGTCGCTCCGTCTCTCTCGCACTCATGGGGCGTTCCCTATGGGTGCGAGAGAGACAGAGCGACGAAGACGACTCTCGGATTCAGTCTGCTGGGCAGGGCCAGGCTCGGTGAACGCGCCCGCAGCCCGCAGGGTAATGCTGTTGAAAAATTGCACTGCCTAGTTATGGTGCTTTGGCAGCGCCTGTATGTTTGTGTGTGTTCAGTGTGTGTGTAAAAGGGGGGGGGGAGCAGCGCGGTCAACCCCGTGCAACGCGGCGCCGACCGATACTGCTGCGGCGTCGCGGCGCCCCGAAGTGGGTCATGTCGTTCCCCGCGGTGGCGCCGCGGTGCTCGCCGCCGTGGAGAAGCACGGGGTGCTGTCGTGGGGCGCCGCCGGACTGATGGGGCTGCAGACTGCATCCGAGAGTCGTTTTGTCGCTCTGTCTCTCTCGCACGTATAAGGGACGCCCCATGAGTGCGAGAGAGAGAGACGGGCCGGCCTGATGGCGAGGGGGGCGTTGGCCGCTCGTGATTGATTGTGCATTATGGACGCCGCGGACGACGTCAGGCGGTCAGGGAGTGCCGCCCCGTCACTCGGAGGTGCGGCGCGGTGCGGCGCGCGGCGTGGGCAGCCGCACGGGGTGTCCTTGGCGTACGTCGGCGTGCGTACCGAGGCGACGGCGCGCCGCTGCATTGTGGGCCATAGAAGACCGGTGGAGGCGGCGGAAACTCAAGACGCCTTTTGATCTCCAGAGTCGCTAAATAAGACTCGAACCGAACGTGTGACCCCACCAATGAATTCCTCGTTCGGAGTGCAATCCATCGGTGGGGTCACACGTTCGGTTCGAGGCCCATTTAGCGACTCTGGAGCTCGAAACGCGGCCGGTCCCCGGATTCCTGGAGGCGGTGTGGTGTGCCGTGCAGCGCGGCGTCGGCACTGTTACGTCAGGCAGGACGTAATATGTGGACGTTCCGGGCGTTCTGGACGCGTGGTCCCCCGGCCCTGATTTGATGCGTCCGATCGGTGGGGCCGTGGGGCCGGCGATAGCGCCGCCGTGGGTGTGGCCCCTCCGGGCCCCTCCGGGTCCCTGGAGTAATCCAAACAAGGCCTCATCGCTTGTCTCTCTCGCACTCAAGCGGAACGCCCCACGAGAAAGGGAGAGAGACATCGACGAAAGCATTGTTCGGACCTGCTAGCCCACTGCGACCGCGACACCCCCGCACTAGACGAGAGAGTCAGTGGCCGGCCCCGCCCTCGCACTGCGGCAGTCCTGGAATTTCCCGGCCCCTGGAGAGAAAAAAATACAAAAAATGCGCGTCAGTCTGGCGTTTCTACTCCGAAGCGTCGGGCCGTCCAATCCACTCTGCCAGAAAAATGCGGCACTTAAAAAGAAAGTTATGACATAGTACACGTGCAAGAGTGAAAATGGTCTTGTTTTTGTGCCGTCTCGATTCTCGTCAGAAATGTTTCGGACTGCGCTTCTGCGGGTGCACCGGTGTGCGCCCGGTGTGCGGGCACGCTGTGTTTGCCGTCGGGGCGGGGCGGGGCGGGGCGGCCAGCTGTGTGTGTCTGTCGACGCGCCACCACTGTCGGCGTCGGCCTGTTCCGTTTCGGACCGCGGCCTGCCCTGCCAGTGGCGTGCCGGCGTGCCCTTGGCCCTGCACTGCCAACACCTGCCCTGCCCAGGATCGCGCCGCGGCCCTCTTCCTGCAGACTGACTCATTCCGAGAGTCGTTTTCGTCGCTCTGTCTCTCTCGCACTCGTGGAGCGTCCCACATTGGTGTGAGAGAGACAGAGCGACGGAAACGACACTCTCGGAATCAGTGTCTACAGGGGGAACTATTGGGGAACCCTCCGAAAAGCAGCCGGGGCACTGTAAGGGGAAAAGAAATGAACAAGATAAGGGGCCCCCCTCCCCGTGGCGCGCGGCTGCGCGATGAATCGTGCAGCGATTACTAATTGTCGCGCCATTATCGAGATAAACTGCTTGTTGGGCTTCCCTCCCCCTCCCCCTTTCTCTCCCCTTCCCAGTGGCGGATCCAGAGCCGGCCGGAGGGAGGAGCGAAGAAGCAGTTTCTGCCCACTTACTGGGACAAAGTGTTTACCTTTTTGCCTGCCTTTCAGGCGGCTATAAAGGGGCCAAGGTGAGCTCAATCCCCTCCCCTCTGGATCCGCACCTGTCCCCTTCCGGCGGCGACGTGCACGGTGTGATTCCCTTCTGGGCGCGCCGTCCCACCGATGACAACACAGTTTTCCCGATCGGGGATTCGAAGTATGTGTGGCTAACAGATGAAAAACGCGCGCACACTGTGAGCTCCGCGTTTTCTCCGAACGGGTGATAGCGTCACGGTCACGCCTCGATTGAGGCGGCGGGGCTCACGTCACTCCGCGGCACTGGCGGGGAAGGGAAGGGCCGGGCTCGGCCAGGCGCGGATCCGAGGGCACAGTGGGCCAGAACACCGGCGCAAGCTACGCCTTTTGAGCTCCAGAGTCGCTAAGCAGGACTGGAACCGAACGTGAGACCCCACCAATGGACTCCTCGTTCGGAGAGCAATCCATTGATGGGGTCACTCGTTCAGTTCGAGTCCTGTTTAGTGACTCTGGGATTTTGACCGCGTCCACCAGTCTTGCAAAAATGCCAAAATGACTCCACCTCGCATCCTTACGGGACGGCCCACGAGTGCGAGAGAGACATGCCATTATTTGTTTGGGACTGCGTGCTGGCCTCACCTTTCCGCAAATGTCAGTGGGGTGGGGGCAAAGGCATGGCGGGGCTCGCGATGATCGGGGCGCGGCGGCGTGGCCTAGGTCAGTGGCCCTGTTCCGGCCCAACCCAACCCTGCACTGTAAATCGAAACTCTATCGAACGCAATGGGGAAAACGGATTCAAACGAATTGCGTACCCGGAGCAATGACAACTTGTTCACACTTCTGCACACCCATTGGTGCGGCTATTCTTGTCGCGTTTGGATTTCGCCAGTGTGCCCGCGGTGTGCCGCACACTGTACGCCTAAACCGCGCGACAAGGAAGGCAGCCGGGCGGGTCCCTCCTCCTAGGCCGTCAGGCCGTCAGGCAGGCCGCCCTCATTTGCCTGGAAATGTCACCTCGTTTCCGTCGGGGGCCCCGCCGCCTTTCGCAACCGCACTCACACTGTCACATTCAGCACACACACACACACACACACATGGGGCGAGGGTGTGAGGTCGATTCCCGGCGGAGATAATATTCAGGATTGAGCGGCGCAACGCGTTCGCGGGCGTTTAGCCGGACAAAAGCGCCGCGGAGCGTTTCAAGAGGGGGGGGGAGGGATAAGGTGAAGCACGGCCACCGCCGCGGTGCGGCCTGCGGGTGGGTGACCCTGCCACTGCACCATATCATGGCCCCGCCCGCGCAGCGCGCAGCGCGCACGTGGTGCATGTGCATCGAGAATGCACCAGGTGTGTCTCTGCGTGTGTGAGTGTGTGTGTGTGTGTGAGTGTGTGTCTATGAGTGTCCGTGTGAGCGAGTGTGTGCGGCTGGACTCCATCTGCAGGCCTGCGCGCCGCCAGAATGAGCGACTCGTGCGGTGGATGCCGTGCCGTGCCGCGTCGTGCCGCTCAGCACGCACACACGTCACGGTCTGGCGGGCGCGGTGGCGCGGCGGCGCGGCCACGGTCCAGGTGAAGTGAGGTTGCAGCCATTGGCATTCACATGTGACCCGTAGCGGACGGACCGCGTGCCCCCCCCCCTCCTCCGCCCACGATATGGCTCCCCCTCCTCCCGCTCCCCGCCCCCGCAATTTAATTCCCGCACTCTCTCCTCCCCGCACCCCACACACCTGCAGGGCCGGCGGCCTAGGCCGGCAGGAGACCGGTACCGGAGCCTGGAGCGGAGCGAGCGGAGCGGCCTGCGGCTCGCTGGAGCGGCGGCCGCGGGACTGGAGGCGGTGCCAGGGCCACCAAGGGCCACCCACCACACCTCACGCGTCACGCGCCGCACTCTCTCACTCGCGGTACTCTCTGACTCGCCGCACTCCCTCGAGGGCCGCGCGGTGACTTGGCGAGTGCCGCCCGCCGCGAGTCGTGAGT